CCCTTTTATAAATTTTTTGCTTCATTGTTTTTTCCTAGACTTGATGTACAGTTTAATGGGCATAATGGCCCACTAATCACAGAGGGACCTATGCAATAGAAACATACAATTATAAAACATTTCTCAGGAAACCTGATATTTATGCCCAAGGTAGACACAGATATAATATTTCCTTGCTACTGAAGAACTGTATGCTGTAATGAGAAGAGAATCTTTTAAGGGATGGTACTTCTATGTCCCTTGTGTCACCTTGTGAACTCAGTATGTAACAGCTCTCTTTCATTGTATAGTTTAATACCAAACAAATTCTTTTCAGTCTTCTGGCTTACATATTTTTGGGGAAATGATTGATGATATTGTTTTAAAAGAATATTTAAAAGCACCTGTTGTTAATTGAACTCCATTATTCATGGGGGGGGGGGAGGTCAAGAATTCTGCAGTGTGTCAGATATATCAAAATCATTTTGAAACTTGAAAACACAGGAAATGAGTGAACTATAATTTAGAAAAGAGGCTGGGTAAATTAGTCACTAGTCACTGTCTTTCGATCCACCTCACAGGGTTCTTATGGGGACAAAAGGAGATTGTTTAAGTTCTATAAAATAGGTGTGGGATATAAATATTATTTATTTTATAGTTATTATTTACCTTTATTTTATAGCAAAACAAATTTGTCTGGACACTGATTTCAAAAGAGAAATCAAAGTTTGGAATGAGGGCTATATTTCTTAGACAGGAATACTTAAAAAAATTACTGGGGGAAAAATCAGAAATATAGGTCTGTTCTTGTTTTGGTAAAGAAACAATAGATTAGAAGAGATGTTTATTCATCATGTGCTTCAAACGTGCAATGTGAATGTAACTGTCAAGTGCTGGAAAATCAGGAAGTCCAGGTAATTTAAAATAAATATAAAAGTTTATTGCAAGTCAAGCTCTCTACAAGAATCTGAACTACTAACTGTCAAAGAAAATTAGTGGTAGATAAGGAATTCAAAGTTGGCTGGACTTAGATCCCTTGTGCTCATGAAGGGATTCAAGACAGACAACATGTTTGAACCCTCCCTCAGGCTCAGCCTAGTCAGCTCTTACAGTAACTTCATAGGACTCTAAGTCTGTTTTCCATAACTGCATGGAAAACCTGTTTTTTAGCCTTTTATTCCCTGATACCTTAGAATTCAGGTTACTGGCAAATTGTAACATTGAGTATAGCACGCAATAAAACAGATTATTAATTTTCTATTTGATACTTTTTGCACTATGTTTAAAAGAATGAATAATCACTATTAAAAATATCACCAGGCTTCAAAGTTCTACGTAAAATACCTACTTAATATCAGCTAAAACAAATTGAGAAATCAGGCATTTATGCTGATCAAAAACAAGAAAATTGCCAAAACAAATTTTAAAAGCTCATTGAATCCATCAGAAAGAATAATGTATTAAAAGCAAACTAAAACACTCATGCCTGTAGCCTTTAACTGGATGAAATGGGCAACAAGTTTTGAAAACAAGGTACCTCAAAGGGGCAGATTGTTGGTTGGATTGGCCTCCCAATGATCAGCTGTTTCAGACTGCAGGGATTGCCATCACCTATTGCCCCACTTTCAGTCTCTGCATCGCATTTTCAGCCTCCACATGCCCTGTTTTCGGTCTCTGCGTGCCCCATTTTCCGCATGTTCTAATCCCCACTGCCCGGAACAGGGCGAAAATGGGGCTTTATCAAATGCTGTATTGAAGTCTAAGTAAATTATATCAACAGCATTCCTCTGGTCCACGAATTTTGTCACTTTGTCAAAGAATGCAGTAAGATTCATCTGGCATGATCTGTTTTTGACAAATCCATGTTGGCTTTTGGTTATTATTTTGTTTGCTTCTACGTATTCACTGATTCCTTGCTTGATTATCTTTTTTTCTTTTGTGTAAAGACAGATGCAAAAAATAAGTTAAGTAGTTCTGCTTTCTTCCTGTTGCTTGTCACCTTCTTGCCACTTTCTCCCAGCAATGGACCAATTGTTTCCTTGACCTTTTTCTTGTTTTTAACATGTTGAAAGAAGTTCTTTTTCTGTTATTTTTTACTTTTGTCACAAGCTTTTGTTCATTGTGAGCCTTGCTTTTCATTCAAAAACATGTCAAAAGCCAAACAGAACTACAGCCAGCTGGACAAGGAAGTGTTGGCTTCAGTGGTGGGGGTCAAGTGGTTTCACGAATACCTATATGGCAGACATTTTGAACTAATCAAGGACAGAAACAGTTACAATGCAAACAGATTTTCAAAGTTCAATCTCAAGTTCCTGTGATATTGATTTCCTAATTTGTTCTACCAAGGGGGTAAGGTAGATATGCCATATAATTCAGATCAAACTGAATAAAATTGATGTAGGCAAAAAGGCTCAAAACAAAGAGAAGAACTAAACCTTTACCATTTTTTTGTTAATTTTGAGTGTTGTGATCTTTCTCCCAGGCTTCCGTTTAAAATAATACTATTGTAAAGGCAGAACTGTTGGCAGTAGTTTGCACTAAAAGTATATATTGCATAAATACCCATCTGCACAGTTAAATTTATGCTCAGTAAATACAGATTTCTCTGCATCTGAAAATATGGAAAAATGACTTAATAAAATAACTGTTTAATGTAAAATGAATTAAAACCCCACTAAGGAATGTTGATAATACTTAGGAAATCTCATGCTGCTTTTTGTTTACACTTCTGTCATTTAAACTAGAAAAGAGGAATTGGTGTAAATGAATATTTTAATGGATATACTATAATTATAAAGTGTCAATTTATCTTATATTACAGTTCTAAACATATGTCATGAATATAATTTATCAGCCCCTATGGATGTGTGAATTAGTATAAATGTAATTCCTTTTTCTCCATACTTTGGTAGACAGAATTTCTGCCTGATGATTGTCACTCCTCCTTTGTAATTGTTAATCATAATGGGTGAAAGGAATCAAATATCTTGTCCCTTTTCTATAAGAAATCCTTAAGTGCAAGGAAATTATGAGCTGACTTCCTATCATCTGTACAAATCTTTTGTATCAGAAAATAATACTTACTGGCATGATTATGTGTACTTAATGTATTGACTGCAGAAGATAATGGATGACTACCATGCATGATGCCACAGATTTATGAGCAGCCCATGTGGACTAATTTACATATATTTATACTGTACTTATTTATATATTAATGGATATATATTTATATATAGAATAATTAGAATTAGAATTGTATACGTATTTATATATACATTAAATCATATTAGCATTAACATATAATAATACAGTAGAATATTTATAGTATTTTGTTTGTTTGCTTATTTGTATTATTAATTGTATTTATTACTATTTATTATTAAGGATATAAACTTATAATAGAGGTACACTAGCATAATAAAATACAATTTCTAATATAATTTATAATGAGTGTATATTATTATATAACTGAATAATTTATTAGGATAACAATAAGAAAAGAGATATTTATATGTGGTATTAATGAACTTTTGTGAGAGTGGCTTTAAAGGTGGATTAAGAGATAGAGTGTTTACTGTAGAAAGAATATAAAAACAAGTGTAGAAGAAGAAAATAAGCGAGAAACTCAATAAGACCATAGTTTGAAATAAAAAGATCATTATAGCAATCATATTGGATAGTAATCTGGGAGAATATACAGTATATAGAATTTTAGGAGAACAGCACAGAATTCTAAAAGAGATGACCAGTACTGCAACAACACTGAAGGCAGGGAAGAAAACTGCATCAAACCCATCAGTGGCAATTGCTTCTCCATCCAACCAATGATTAATTGCACTGCAGAAGGGGCATTGGTAGACTTACCAGTGAACGCCCTTTCTAGACACACTGCGATAGAGTCCAGCATTGGGTATAACTCTGCCCTCTTATGACATGAGCTGAGTCTGCCACTATAAAAGGTTCGCCTCTGCTGAGAGCCCCAGTTTTACTGGTGAAGTATCTTGACAGACTAGGATTGTCTCTGGAATATAAACAAATAGAATGAGCGTACAACCGCCCCGCTACCTGAGAATACTACACCAGATGGCCACAGGGTGGGGCTGGATTCTATCGCAGCGTGTCTAGAAAGGGCGTTCACTGGTAAGTCTACCAATGCCCCTTCTCTGTCACGCTGCTCTAGAGTCCAGCATTGGGACATACCAAAGCCTGCATGCCCAAGGGAGGGACTCGGCTGGTCCTCTTAATCCGACCCAGGAACCACCCGCTGGAGTACCCTTCATCCAAATGCAGCCTGTAAAGATGCAAAGGAGTCCAGCCGGTAATGTTGGACGAATGGGGAAGGCGTGGTCCATGTATCAGCTCTACAAATTTCTTCGATTGGAGCCTGCGTGGCCCAAGCTGACGAAGTCGCTGCGCTCCAGGTAGAGTGTGCAGTCAGTTTCTTGGGAGCTGGCAAGCCAAGAGTTTCATATGCAGTAGAAATGCATGCTCTGATCCACCTACTTAACATGGGAGATGAGGCCTTAGACCCCAAGGAGACAGGTTGAAAAGACACAAACATTGACTCAGTTTTGTGAAAAGGCGCAGTTCGTTTGATATAAATCCTGAGTGCCCTTTTCACGTCCAATGTGTGCCACTGACGTTCCAATACATGTTGGGGTTTGGGACAAAAATCAGGGAGAACAATGTCTTGAGCTCTGTGAAGCCAAGAGTTAATTTTTGGTACAAATGAAGGGTCCAGATGCAAAACCACCTGGTTGTCATGAAACATACACAAATCTGGCCTTACTGAAAGGGCAGCTAATTCAGCTACCCTCCTGGCTGACATAATAGCCACCAAGAAGGATACCTTCAGAGTTAAAATACAGATGCCTACCGTTCGTAAAGGCTCAAAAGGAGGGCCCAAGAGAGCTTGGAGAACCTTAGACAAGTCCCAAGTGGGATACCTATGCACAATGGGTGGTTGCAGATTTGAGGCTCCCCTCAGAAATCTGCGGATCGAAGGGTGGTGGGAGAGGGATGTGTACCTGTCCCATGAAATTACTGAAGCTGGGTTTGGGTTTCTTCAGAGACAGACCGAAATCTGCGATCGTGCGCAGTTTCAATCTGTGCTTGCTGCTGGAGCACCCCAATCTTTTGGGTTCAGGACTGAAGCCACCCCGTAGAGGTGGTGAAGAGGAGGGAGATTGCTAGCTGAGTGAAGGGGAGCGGCATCTCTCCTCCTTGGCTGGTCGAAACTCCCTTTCCCGAAGGCGGTTGCAGCGGTGGTCAGAAATGGCCACCTTAAAGAAGAACCAACTGGATAAGATTGTGCAGGAGGAAGACAAAAAGAAAAGCAGGACAGACCGGGCTAAACAACAGAGAACATCTAAGCAAGGTACCCTGAATCTAAAAGTACTTAGAGGGATACTTCTGAAAGAAGATCTTTAAGCAGCGAAGGAGAGAGAAAAGGAGGTTAAAAACCTTTTTTTAACCTTTATATTGACAATTACAAATGGTATGGAAAGAAATTTATATTAATCTATTTTGACACTGATAGGCAACTTTAAGCTGAAATCTAAGTGTCAAAAGGAGAATAAAGATTTGTTCTTTGGTCATTTTAAAGCCCTAAAAAGGAGAAGAGTGGCAGCAAAAGGGTTGAACTTGGAATAATGAAAAAATGGAGTGCCACCTGGAAAAATAAAGAGGATTAACAGTGAAACTTTGAAAACTCTGAGGATACATTGTAACTGAAATCTTATTGAAAGGTACAGTAACCCACGGAAAGGAAAAGTAAAGGAAAGAAACAAGAAGGAACAGTCTGGGATCATTTGGTGATAATGCAAAGTGTGGTAATAAGGGGAAAAAGGGGGAAATGAGTTAAAAGTTTGAAATCAAAGGGAACAGCCAAAAAGAAAAATAGTCTGAAAAAGAAGTATAACAGCAAGGAGAAACAGAAAAGAAAACTACAGAAGGAAAAATTAGAGAGAGAAGGGTATAAAAAAAGGGATGAGAAAAAAAGGGAGGGAAGATAGAAAGGGAAAGAACTTAGGAGGGACAAAAGCAGGAAATAAAGAAAAAGGGGAAACGTACTAGGATTAAAGGTATTTGCTCAGCTAGAAAACACAGAGACAATGGCTAAAAGTAAAAAGTGAGGATTCTAGTGTTGTGACAGTAGAATACTGTAATGAGTTAGAAAGGAAATAAGTAAATAATCTATGAGATAAAACTGTATTGTTATGTAATGGTATGTTTATTTATAATTAATGCAATAATAAAGAAGAGAGGGAAACATTGTAATTGTTTCTAAAGATTGATAAAATATTGAAAAGAAATGTGAAAGATGCATAAGGAAATTTACACCAGTTACTAAAATGAATTTGAATAATTATTTTGCTTATTAATAGTAAATAACTTATAAGATAAAACTGTATGACTATCCAATGGTATGCTTATTAACAGTTAAGTAATAATGAAGAAGGGAGGGAAACATTTCGACTGTTCTCAAAGATTGATAAATATTGAAAAGAAACGTGAAAGATTTACAAGGCTCATACCAGTACTAGAATGAATTTGAATAACTATTTTGTTTGCTAATGTTTATATATATATAAACATGTCTGTGTGTGTGTGTTTTCTTAACTTTTCGCGGGTACTTACATGTATGGCATTCAGCTTTGTTCGAGTATTTTCCCACGTCATTGTAGTGGTGCTTTTAAAGTTGTAGTAACATTTCGGCAGAATCTCATCTGCCTACAGAAGCCTGATGATGGCAGATGAGATTCTGCCGAAATGTTGCTACAACTTTAAAAGCACAACTACAATGACGTGGGAAAATACCTGAACAAAGCTGAATACCATACATGTCAGTACCCGTGAAAACTTTATACACACACACACACACACACACACACACACACACACATATATATATATATATATCGATGAAATTTCATTCATCATCTTCAGGCTTCTGTCTTCGGCTCTGTGCTTCTCAGAGTGATGTGAGCTTGCAGCTGCTTCTTCCTTTTAACTGCTAGTGGGGGTGTGACTTGATTGGGTGGGGGCTTGGCTGTGTTATGATTGGGTGGGGGTGTGTTCTGATTGGTTGGGGTTTTGGCTGTGTTCTGATTGGTTGGGGGGTTGGCCGTGTTCTGATTGGCTGGAGGCGTGTTCTGTTCAGGTGGGGGCTTGGTTGTGCTCAGGTTAGTCTTAGTTGCTGGGGGATTTGAGTTGGTGAGCTGTGATCTTGCTGTTTGGCTTCGAGTTCGTGGTCGTGCTGCATCTTCATAGTGGGTGTCGGTTTGCTTCATGTATGGCTCGGAGTGGTTTGAAGTGGGTAGTGATGCAGCTGTAGTGTGGCTTCTGGTCCGTGGTCGTGTCTCATCTTCTGAGTGGGTGTGAGTCTGTTTTCTACATGGAAGTGTGGTGGTGGCATCTTGTGTGGCTCTCATGGGTGTGGGTCTGGTGTCATTCTTCATGTTGGGTACTCGTCTGTTCATGAGGGCGGGTTTCCAAATGGCTGGTAGGCGGGAGGTGTCATCTCGTTTGTTCATGCTGTGTGGGCGTTTTTCTATCTCTATGGCTTCTCTGATTATTCTGCTGTTGAAGTGTTCGGTTTTGGTGATAGTTCTGGTATTATTAAAGTCAATCTCATGTCCTGTGGCTTTGAGGTGTTGGACCAGGGAAGAGGTCGTTTCTTCTTTTTTGATTGAGTTCTTATGTTCTTCGATGTGTGCACTTATTCTTCTGTTAGTTTGTCCAATGTATGTGGTGGGGCAGGCAGTGCAGGGGATTTCGTATACTCCTTGGTTTTCTAATTCGATTTTGTCTTTGGGGTTTCTTAGGATGGTGGATATTTTTCTGTTTGTGCAGAATGCTGTTTTAATGTTGTGTTTTTGGAGGATCTTGCTGATTTTGTCTGTAGTGCCTTTTATATATGGGAGGAGGGCTTTGCCGTTTTCTTGTTCTCTGTCTTGGATTTTGGTTGGGGTTTCTTTTTGGATTAGGTGGGTAATCTTCTTTCTTGGGAATCCATTGGCTGTTAGTACGTTGGTGAGAGTGTGTAGTTCGGTTTTTTGGTGTTGTTCATTGGCTAAGCATTTTGTTCTGGAGATGAGTGTCTCGGCTACGGAATTGATCTGTGCTGGGTGGTGGTATGAGAGTGCATGTAGATAGCGGTTTGTATGTGTTTTCTTCTGATAGATGGTGTGTCCTAGGGAGCCATTGGATCTTTTGTATACCAAGACATCTAGGAAGGGAAGTTGATTGTTGGCTTCTGTTTCCATGGTGAATTGTATTTTGGGGTGTAGGCTGTTGAGGTATGTGAGGAAGTTGTTCAGTTTTTCTTTCCCGTGTGGCCAGATTATGAAGGTGTCATCTACGTATCTGAGCCAGAGTTTGGGTTTGTGGTCGTATTTTTCTAGAGCTTGTGTTTCAAAGTGTTCCATGTAGAGGTTTGCGATGACTGGTGAGAGGGGTGATCCCATGGGTGCTCCTTCTATTTGTTTGTATTTTTGTCCATTGTAGGTGAAGTAAGTATTGGATAGGCAGTGGTTGGTTAGATCTAGGATGTGCTTGGGGGCTTGTATTTGTTTTGGATGGCTGTCAAGGCTTCTTTTATTGGCACTTGGGTGAAGAGGGATATGACATCGAAGCTTACTAGTAGGTCGCTAGGTTGTAAGGTTTGTTTCTTTATGATCTCGATGAACTGGAATGAGTTTCTTACGTGTGAGTTGATGGATTCTGCATAGGGTTGTAGTTGTTTGGCAAGAAATTTGGCCAGGTTTTGTAGAGGTGAGCCTATGGAGCTGACTATTGGTCTGAGTGGGGTTCCTTCTTTGTGTATTTTGGGGAGACCATAAAGCTTGGGGCATCTGGATGATTTTTCTCTGGGTATGATTCCTTGCTGGATTTCTTCACTGATGGGGGAGGCTTTTATTTTGGATTTGGTAGTTTTTTCTAGGTAGGTGGTGGGGTCTGTCTTTAGGGGTTATATATATAAAGAGAGAGAGAGAGAGAGAGAGAGTGTTTCTCTTCTTTTTTTAACTTCTATTACGTTTTGTCTGGGAAAGGAGGGGGGAAGTGTGAATAAAGAAACTTTGTAACACTGCCAACTAGAGGCTTGAAAATATTTTAGACGAAGCTGAGAAAGCTGAGAAAGAAAGATCTGAGACTCCCTTTCAAGGACATTGCTATGTGATAAGATAGAGGGAAGAGCACGGGAGAGTGTTATTGCAGGTGTTCTTCTAGATTTCTATCAACAATTGAAGCTTGGTTTTCAAGTTTGCAGAGAAGAGAGTTATAATAAGAGCCTTGGATAATTAAATAAAGTGCAGTGTGTCCTTGTTATTTTTTTTTTATTGTGCTACTCTCCTTACCAGCTTTACTGTACTCTTTTTTTTTCTTAAACCCTTTTTTTTGCAATATTTCCATTTTTGCTTTGTATTTTAAAGGGAAAGCCTCAAAATTTTGCTTTTTTTTTTCCTCCTTCCTTCTTTGGGATTTTTTGTCTTTCATCCATTCTTTGGGTTCACTTTCATGCTTTTTTTTATTTGAGAACAATACCAATTAGGCTTGGAAAGGACTACTTTGAAGTTTTAAATAAAATTGTGTTGAAATATATATGGCAAGGTAAGAAAGCGAGAATAAAGCTAAAGCTTTTGCAAGATGCTGGAATAAGAGGAGGATTTGGATTGCTAATTGGGAGTTGTCTTACCAAGCTACAAACTTGATGTGGGCTAAGGAATGGATAACATTAAGAAATACTAGATTGTTGACATTAGAAGGACATGATTTGTTGATAGGGTGGCATGCTTTGTTATGGTATAAGGGAACTAAAACACAGGGCTATTTTAGAAGACATCATATACGGGAGTCTCTGTGGTTAAATTGGGAGAAGATTAAAAGACAATGCTATTTGAAAATTCCAGACTGGTTATCGACTATTGAAGCATTTTCCTATCCTATAATATGAAAGAAGGAACAAACAGTTAAATATGGGGAAATTTTGAATGAAAAGGGTGAACTTAAATCAATGCAAAAACTAGA